CAATCAATATTGGATTTTTATGAATTTTTAAAGTTGCTTCATGTACTGTACATTGTCATTCAGTGTAGCTGTACATGAATTATGGTTCATTGTCTCATTTTTGTCCATAATTACATACACATTTTAACAATACATAATTTCACGTGTTATACTTTCCTACAGATAATTTGGAAGGTCTGAGTGAGTCCCAAATAGCAGGGAAGAAGTTGTTCTTAGTTCAAGGAGACAAACCTCAACTGATGAACTGGGAGGAGTATGGACTGAGGATTAGTGTACCGAGGATAGTCTATCAGCATCAGAGACTGTAGAAGTATCAGTACTAGCTCTTGTAGGAGGACACTTCAAGTACATATACTGTACATGTAGTAATGTCTGTATACATGTAGTTAGTGGGGAATTATTGTGAGGGAAAACAATTGATAATTTATTCTTTATGTGCCTAGTGAAGAATGTATTACTGCCTTATAAATTTGCTCTCCAACAATTAGAACAATTAAAATTAATAATGATTATGACGAAATCTTTTATGCCAAAATTTAATTTTTGATGCATGAACTAACAAAAATTTTACCTGACAAAAATTACCGATTGTACATTGTACAATAATAAATATAGCCAGAAAGTTTCTTGGCAAAAAACTTTTGTGTTTGATGGCTCCTAGTCTATTTGTGGTTTTTTATTTTTGTGGATCATCAGTGAAGCATCCATGCCTCTCATTAACCTGCAAATATTAATTTTGTGATTTCAATTTTGTGGTGTCATTCCAAACCGCAAAAACCACGAAAGTTTTTGGCAATGAAAATTTTTGGCTATATGGTATATACATATACATGTATTTTAATTATTAATTCCTATATAGGTTTTCTGATAATACTAGACTAGTGAGTGCAGTGTATGCAATATCAACCAGTCCACTCCCCAAGTCACTGAGGATAGAAATGCAACACTGTATTGATCTCAGTGATCCTTCTTTATCCAAGTATCTTAAATTTGCTGTTGCTCCAGTTCACACAGCTAGTCTTCCTTACCAGTTCTCACTAATTGAAGGAGGAGAGTTTCCAGCATACCAGAGATATGGATGGATTGAACGAAGCAAGTTCTGTCAATTAGCTATTGTTGGGGAGGAAGAAGAGGAAAATGGAGGAGGTAGGAATGAGGAGAGGAAGATGGAGACTCAGGAGGTGAGGGAGGGAAAGGAAAGGGACAGACAACAGGAGGAGAGGGACAAGGAGCAGGAGGACAAGGAGGAGCAGGTGGAGTAGCTGGAGGAAATGAAGAAGAGAAAGATGATGAGAATGGAACAATTGCTTTAGAATCATGTGATCAACCAAGCACTTCATCATCACTTAGTAAGTATATATTTTTATTATATGAATATACCTCTCAATAATTCATCATACAGTTGTATCTACTCATTCCACTGGTATACCTGAAGCTACAGTTTATGCTGGACAAGTGTTTTATGAACGACCAGATTTAATGAGATTCACTGCTGCTAGAGATTTGAATGCCTTACGTCAGGTAACATGTGAAAGTTTTTTTATTTCATTGTTTTTGTTATTTGCTTGTAGTATATGAAGCAGACAT